ACCTCGGATAGAATGATTCACAATTGTAAACTGTTCATATTAATTGTTTTTAAAATTATTATCCTCATTGACTCCGTTATTCCTCTTTTAGAATCAATATTTCTCAAATATTATGGTCCGTTTCTATGAATGCATTCCAGCAGGCATTAAGTCGATTGATTCACGAAAACAATTTCGTAGGTCAATCCTAGAAGTTTCAAATATTGGAATTAAATTTGACCGTTACCTTGTTTGGTAAAAATGGTCAGGTTGAAAAGATCGTAAATGTTTTGATAAAGTCCTGTTACTTAATGGTTTGTAAAAAAATTTCTTCCTCCTGTTGTAAATATTTATTTATTTTTTTATGTTATCCAGTTACATATTTAACGTTTTGAAAGCCGCCCCATCATTAAGAATTTTCTACAGTACAATTATTATTATTCCATACTTATATGCTATTGCAATAATTTATCTGAATATTTATAAAAATAATTAACAATTTCAAATTTGATGTTATCATCAATCTTTTTTTTTTTCTCTTAAATTTGTCATGTAAGTAAAATCCATAATATATTATATCGTCATATTTTAAAATATTTTTTTAAGATTGTTCTTTTTGGGAGCATGCTTAAGGTCTTTGGATTTCTTATTTCTTACAAATTTTCAGATCTCTACCTCATCTTCAGGTATTTTCTACAATGGGAGAAAGAATAAATAAAAATATAAATAATGAAAAGTATTAAGACCAACCCATGATAGGGTTAGTGTAACAATGTAATGACCTTAAGTAAGTCCTAAATAGAATAATTTAAAAAAATATGAGGCTATAAAAGATAATAATAACGTAAGTATATTTGAAAAAGTGTTGATAAATTATTATAAAAATATTATATTACGGAATGATAATAATAATTGTATTGTAGAAAATTGTTGACAATTAGTAGGATCTCGAAACGTTTAATATTTAACTAGGTTATTTAAAATAATAAAGTATTTACTCCAGCAGAAAGATATAATTTTTTGCTAATCACAGATATCGTAAAAATATAAATCTACTTTCATTAGTGAGTTAATATTTTTTTTTATTTATTTTTTTTTTATATAGTTCTTTTTAATATTTTTAAGGCTTATGACATTCCTCATTTTTAATTTATACAAATCCATTTTATGATTTTGTTCTTCCAAATTATGATAGCACAGATGCATTATCAGTAATTCGTACAATATTAACCTTTGTTTCGACAATCCATGTACGAAAACCTTGGCCATATGTAGTTTCAAGCTTTGGCACTTTTCGTGATCACTATGCACTATTATTTGTATGCTAATTACATACGGAGGAGAAAAAACAAACCAGCTGAGGGACAAAAAAAAAATGAGAGGGAAGAAAAAAAAAGGGAACCGACTTAAGTAATAGAAAAAAAAAAGGGGGACCAAAAAGAGAAACAGAGAGAAAAAAAGAACATGGCCCAGCAAGTTCATCGGGTTTAGGCCGAGTGAAGCCGAACACACCCGAAGGCCGGCAACCGGCTCCCTCAGCAACAGTCCGGTCTCGGGCTTGCCTGGTGCAAGACCTTGGGACCTGCTCAACAATAGTCTGTACAACTGTTCTTCGTTTTTCACATACGTATTCACGCACTCTATTATGTGAGATTATCTATGATGCATCTGTTATTCGCAACAAGGAGCAGAAAATTAAAAAGAAAAATATATTTGAAATTGTTCGCCAATCCTCTTCTATATCCTCATCCTCAACGAATCGTACGTAAATATTTTTAAATTATTATTTTTCTAGAAAATGTGAAATTTACAGGTATTTTCACTCACTTTCATGAATAAAATGAAATTTTCAAGAATATTTTGGTATTAATATTTTTTTTATTTAAATTTATTTTGACCTATTTTCGTTTCTCCATCGTCGTATGGATATCTCACAGATTTGTATATATTTTTTCCACAATTAATTATCTTATTAGACACCAAACTTAAATTAAATTTTAAATTATTTGATAATTCTGAACTATTAGTGAGTAATCAATTAAAACTATATTGTAATAGGAAAAAACGTTTTTGCCGTTAAAACTTATATTTCCTCATTGTTTTTTTCGGTGTTTGTAATAATATTCGTTCAATTAAGTAGGATCACTTTTTTTTTTTTATTCAATGGTGTAACTAACAGAATATATTTATTTAAAATTTAAAAATATATCGTTATTAATGAAATCTGTAAAATAAATAATAATATGATATCAATACAGTTAAAGATTAAAAAATATAATGATAAATATAAAAGACGTGATGTACATTGTTCGTACAGATTTGAACACGATTCGATTATGAGATATATTCAAAAACTCTTGACCTTTTTAATTTTAATTTTATTCGTAATTATGTAATTTATAGAGACAAGAATTATATGTTTTAATAAATTGGTAATTAAGTTCGATAGTTGATTGATACTAAATGAGAACTGGCTTGGGAGATAGAGGGGTCAACGGATTGGAGACCCTGAAACAGTTCAGGGAAAAGAGAGTTGCAGTTGCCAGGGATTTCGTATCCGTTGCCTGCTTTTTATCTACATCAAACGAGATTTTCACCATTTTATATATTATATTTCTCATCGCATTTTTCAATATTGATATTTAAACAATGTCTGTTTTTAATTATTTTTTTCCGATATACAAAAATTATAAATGCCGGTTTAAAAAAAGGGGTCTCGGTAGCTATTTCTAGATGGAACACAGTGCCAACTTATTATTACTTTTAGAGTTTGAACTGATAAGTTAATCAGGGCGTCGCATATTAGCTATTACTTTTATTCAGCACAGGTAAAAATAACTGGACAGAAGTTAACTAGCAAATTGTGTCACGAGTAAAAAAAAAAAAGAAAAAAATACTGTCTTTTTATTAAAGCTTCATGCGGGAACCGGTTACGTCGACTTGGCTACAATTTTCAACTTTTCAAATATATCTCAATTCCTAACGTAAATGATAATTTCAATTTATAAAATATCTTACGTTCACCATAGAAAATTATGAAGTTTTTTTTCCGTTGATGATCCTTGTTTGATATGAACAAAGTTCACGTCTTTGTTACCAGTGGATGAAACCAAGTAGTCGGATTTCAGCTTATTTTATGTAATTTTTTAAAAGTTTGATATCAATTCAATAAAATAGTTTTTGAAACTTTCAATTTATTTCCTATGTTATAATACAAAATATTAAATAATCAATAAATAGGTCATGGGATATGTTTAAACTAATAGTTGCTATCCGTAGCATATTTCAGAGCTAAGTCATCTTAAGGGTTTTCATAGACCTTTAGCATCAGCTGAACTGTTGAATTTAAGAATTGTTAAGAGGTATCGATCGGACTTAAATGAGGGAAATAGGACAATTTTTTGATAGGAATAGATTCCTTAGTTAGGTAAATTTAAATGTATATATTTACAATACAGGGAATACGTACGAAACCAGTTCAGTGTAGAAAATGATTTTTTTTTTTTTTTTTTTATTATCCCTTTATAATCCATAATGCTAAATTCGTAGCTACTATGGTATTGCGAACGAAAAATGAAGTGTTCAGATTTTTAATATTATAATTTTTTATTATAGTTTATAATGAAAATGATTAAATCGGAAGATTTGAATTTTTAATTTATGTCATATTTTATAATATGAAATATTAACTAATCAGTAAATAGTTCGGTAAAGAGGTCTTTTTGAATGAATATTTGCTAAGTTTCGGGTATTTCAGTGCTAAGTTATAGGGTTTATAGGGATCGATAGTGTCGGGTGTTGTGTTGAATTAAGGAACTGTGAAGAGGTATCGACCGGACTAGGGGATAGAAATATTTATTGAAATTATTATTATCGGTCTAGCAATATGTATTTGATTAGATAAATCGAAATATATTATACAGAGAATGAGTATGAAATAAGTTCTGTGAAGAAAATTACGAAGTTTTTTTTTTTTGTCCCTTTTATAATCCATGTATGTAATAAGTTCATAGTTACTTCGGTTTAGTGGACAAAAATTGAGTTTTCAGCTTCTTTTTCCTTCTTTAAATTTAAAATTAATTTAATAAAGTCATAATCAAGTTTTAAATTTATTTTATATTACATCGCATCTATCTCTCATCTGTTAAGTAATTAATGATAGTTCATGAGATCTGTTTAAAATGTATAATTTGAAAATTTCTGATACTTGAGTGCTCGTAGATTTTTAAGATATCGTAATAGATTATTCTTGAATCAGTAGTATCAGCTGATTTGTTGAATTTAGGAATTGTGAATAGTTATCTTGAGTAGAATAGTACGATTTTTTTTTCAAAAATTATTATTAGAAGAATATTTTATTTATTATTAGGTTAGATATATGTAAATATACAATACAGGGAATGAGTATTATATTTTTATATTTTAAGTATATTATATTTTAAGATCAGTTGAAATAGATGTTAGTTTAACAAGTAATCAACTAACTTTATTAGTTAGGCCTTGGAGAGTGTTGTAATAGATGAAAAAAATTGATCAAATAATACAATATATATATTCAATAATTTATCTCAGTTAAGTTTCAGAATTGTATTGTTTCGGCTTGTATTGTATTTTATTGGTTTTAAGAAAATTAGTATTGAAATGTAACTTTTTGTTCATATTTCGTTTCCTACAGGGTGACTAATAGTTCTTCTAGAAAGGTCTATGTGTTATATTAGCGATGAAATTGTGTTTAATTGAGGGTAAATATATAAATTAAAAAGGATAGGGAACTATAAAACTCTTTTAATTTATTAATTTTTCTCCTCGATCGTGTTCTTAAGTGATTGGAAACTTGTAGAGGCCGGTAGGTACGGAAGAGAGCAAGAGAGCTGAGGATGATGAAATAAAACATAGAAGAGAAGCAGACCCGGCGGAGCCCCCAGCTGACAGGGCTCACGTAGGCCAGGCGGTGGTGGGGGTAAAAAATCGGGGGTGGGGGTAAGGCAAGGCGGTGGTGGGGGTAGGACGGAGCGGTGGAGGGGGCAGAGCTCTACTTCCCGAGGCCAGCTGATGTCGAACCTAGTCTCTCACCGACATCCACCCGAGCGTCATCTCTTACAGAGCTCGTACAGCCACAGGGGAAGTGTCAGGGCAGTCCCTTGGGTGTCTTCGCTCCATACAATTGTGATATATTTGTCTGTGCTAGGCGCTCTGTGATATTTATCAAGACGGACGACATGGAGATCCTTCCTTGCCCCGTTTCTGCTACCTTTCCGGCCTTTGCCAGAGGTGAGTTCTATATAATATTGCCGGCTTGATAACTCTTGTTTCGTCAGCTAAACTTTCTCTTCTTAGTAGTTTTTTTATTTATTATATATTCACTATAATTATTTTCTTCTGGTTTTATTCTCTCTTTATTTCTATATTGCTACTTTCATTATTTTTTTTTTTTTAATCTATAATCTAATGAATGATACCTGATTTGACTAACTTTCAAATATATGAGCTGATTTTGAATGCATATGTCAAATCCATCAAATTTATTTTGTTACAATTTTTGAACATTTCTCAAACGAGAACATCAATTTTGTGTTGAGTGATAAATCTAAGAACTAATTTTTTTAAATAAAAAAAAAATCATATGAAGGTTGAATCATATCTATTGACACCACTGATGGCTTTGACAAGTACTTAAAATAAAAGTGATCAAGGTCAAATATTTACCGAAGAAAATAATTTTAGTAAGATTTTTAAATATTCCCTTCTTATCAACAAGATTTAACGTTGAAATATATTTATTTTTTTGTTTAATTTGAACAAATGTTCACTATTACCATCCGTCTCGATAGTGATTTAAAATGAACGATATAAATATTTTCTAAAAATATTTTTACCGTTGTATATTTTTAATATCTTTGATGAATTTAGTAGTGAAAAAGTGTACAGGGTTTTTAAAACATTAAATTTTAATAATGGAGAACGCACCTAGAGAAAAGTTTTAACAAAGAAAAAAATTAATTTATGGTAAAATATGTTTTTTGACGATCTTTTACAAATCTAATGTTTAATAATATGTGCTTTACGCTTTTGTTAAATTGATAGTTGATGACAATTGAAACTTGCTGTTGAGTTATATTCTTTGATTGGAAGAGGTTTTGTTATATCTCAACTTAAGTCGCAGGTATCTTATTTATTATCCCAGTGGGATTATTGTTAAATATTTGTAGCCTTGCAAACGTTGATAATGGTTTAGCTCAATTCTGTCGGGTTTATTAACCGGGGCCGTGGTAGGGGGACCGGTCGGGTGAAAGTGCCGGGAGTTGGGACATAGCCGGCCGGCCTACCGGTCTTTCGGTTTCCCCGCTTCGTCAAGTGTGGTGTGGGGCATGATGGGGCTTCAGTTCTACAATGTTAGCTATCGGGTTTGAAGCCTCTTTGGTCTCAGCTTGTTCCAGGTTGTTAAATTAAATTGAATAGTCAACATAATTATTACGGAATTCATTAAAAAAAAAAAAAATTGTAATTTTAATTTATGGTTTAGATTTTTGTTGCTCTTCAACTTGGACTAAATTTTTTTCTTATCCTAACCAGGCCTTAAGGAGGAGATGGTAGCGGGTACTTGTGAGGTTGCTCTGGCGAGGCGACTGGAGACGGAGCTCCGGGCAGCCAAGTCTGCACAACTTAGCTGCGGCGAAGTCCTCCTGCCGGCCAATCTCCTGCCTAGGATAGCCTCTCAAGTCCTCAGCCTTGCCGAAGTGGAACCTTGCGGCCTGAGGGGATGTACCCTCTACATCGACTTCGCCGCCTCCGACGCCGATGTACGGAGGATAGCGGAGATCAAGTGTGATAACAACACCGTATCCACCTTTGAACTCACCCTCACTCTCAAGCAAGACCCCAGGTCGTCTTCGTGGCATAACATCCTGCCGCAGTTCTTAAAGTAAGTTTCCCTTCTGACATAAAATGGCTTCAACAAGTTTGAAGGTTGAATATATAAATAAACCCTGTTAAAAATATTGTTCCTTACTAATTCGATGACTTGTCTACCTGCAGAAATCTAACAAAAGGCGGCACAATAATGATCAGCCACGAGTTTGACATCACCAAGAAGAAGCTGTACAGGTCTTACCTGGAGTGAGAGAGAGGGAGGGACATGTTGGAGAGAGAAGAGCCGCCAAGACTGAATATCATCTTGCTCCTATTCCTGCACCATACGGCAATATCATGGCGTCTTTGAGAACACAAACACAAAGTATTTATCGTGTGTTAAGCCAGAGGATACATAATATACATATGTTTTTATTTTATACAATCTATATACTATATATTAAAAAAAATCTATTTAGTTTGTAGCGGTTAGATGTATAGGTTTTTTTAATTTTTTTATATGTTTAGAAATTTTTTTTAATTGCTGTGTATCTATATAGGTGGTTAAATAACCCCTTCATCAAGCTAGTGTGATCATTGGAAAGTGTTGAACAGAATTAATTATTGGTGTATAGGTTTGGTAGGTAATGTTGTAGGACTGGGATAACAAATTTCTTTCGAGAAGCTGTGGCTGAATCCAGTACAATACTTGTATCTTTAGTTGTCTGCCAACTGGCACGCCATCTTTATATAAGTCCATATCATATGCTTTCTTAGATTGTAACAAACTAATACCAGTAATAATATACATTGTATGTGATTAATATTCTATTTAAGGTATATGTCTTTTTCGAATATATGATATATATTTGAACACAAGTATTTGTATATCGACACAGTGTGTCACAGTTGTCTGTGACGAGTGAGCTTAGTCGAGTTGTTCAATGGACAATTTTTTGAATTATAAATTTGTGATTCGACCTATGATAGTAATATAAATATAAATATATATAAATATATAAGTATAAAATGAAATATATTTGTGTATAGGAGGTAAAGCTTTAATAGGTTGTGTTGTCTTTCAAATTGTGTGTGACAAAAGCAGAGTTAACAATGTTATTCAGTCTTTGTGATTATCAACTTGTCTCTGTCTTGTTTATTTGTATTTTTGAAGCAAATTTATTTTCCATTTGGTCTCTCATCGATGAATGTTGTCGAAATGTTTTATTTTATTTTTAATTTTTTTTTTGTAAGTAGTTCTTCGAAGATGTTTCTCTTGTCATTTATTCATAAGGAGTTTGTAAAATTTTTTATAACGTCTCATCAAAGAGGCCAGTAGTGATTTATTTATTGTTCTTTAATAAAGTAACTTGTGATAAAAAGCAATTATTAATATATTATATATTGATTATTAATTATTATTATTTTGTAAATTTATTATTGTTGAGTCAACTCTGCTGTTGTATTAAATGTACCATTTTGTATTTTTTACTTAAAGGAGAGGAGAGGAGAACACAAAGCATTATATATATATGTCCTGATCTCACTAATGCCAGTATGATCTGGTTTTAATAATATAAATATTATATTAATATAAGTATATATATTTAATGAGATGCAGTATTTGGGGAAGAGGGACCCCATCGGGTTCTCCTCCGACCCAGAATTACAACATTGTATTTCATTTATTGATTGTCGAGAAACAAAGGTGTATTATAAGAATGATTGGCGATTCGACACAATTTTTTGTACTTTTTTGTTATACGATGGAAGATGTTTTAAGTTGTAAAATTTAAAACATGGTGAAAATATCAAATATAAAAAAAAGCAAAACTTTATACATTGTCTTTTCTATTCCAAACCTTATTACTACCTATCCTTGCCTTATACTTACAAATATCTCATGGTGTTTGATGAAACAAAATTAATGAGAGTATTGCGGGATATTTTAGTATCCATACAAGTATCAAGAACAAAACAAATTGTTAAAAAAAGGAAAAAAGAACATACATCAAATTTTAACTTTTGAAATGGTATAAAAGTTCTGAATTAAGAAAAGATTTCAAATGGTTTTATTGAAACATTGGTTATCAAGAGAATTCAATTTTTGACAACATTTGAATTTTTCTTTATTTGCCAGCTAGTAATAAATATATTAAAAAAACAACTGTGTTGCTTATAAGTCTTCAGTGGTGTTTTATTTTTAAAATTAAAAGAATAGATATTAAACATTAAAGTATGTTTAAATTTTCTCCCAGAGTTTATTGTTGAATAAATGTTTTAACATTGCTGCAAGAAAATTCAATTATTATTTTTTTATATTAACAATTATCTATTAAACATTGCACTATCAATGTTACAGATAAGGTATTTTACTCAGCATTGGTTTCTAATTTTATTACAAGGTTTCTCTTTTAATATTAGCCTTACAAACAAGGCCAAAATGTAATAAAAGGTTTATAACAAAATAGAATTGTTCAACTAAAACTACTGTGTTGATATTTGTAATTTATTATTTAACTTCAATTTTTAATTTATCTTGCGCAAAGCACTAAGGAAATGAGGTTTCTATATTGATACAACAAAAAATTAAAAGTCCTACAAACTGATTTAATATTGATATTAAAACATATATTTTTACGATTATATAAAAATGTTTTATAAAATATATTTTATCACAGAGGTAGTCGAAAAACGGTCATGGCGAACTACTGAAAGAGTTCATTCAACCGACCAAAAGCTGCTAATGAGATTCTCATATATCTTCTAAAACATTAGAAACTCCATCAATAAATGTTTTCTCTTCGTATATCTAACCGAAAGGTTATATTTTTAAAATATGGTTTAATTTACACACGTCTCGAAATTTATATCGTAACGAATGACTTGGGATTATGTTACGTGACTACTTCAGGTCAGTACTGATTGTGAGATTGTTATGAGAATATTAATATCTCCAGCATTTATTTTCAATTTTTTTTTTTAATTGTTGTTAATATATATAAATTATTTGTATAATATATAAGGCACAATATTTGGCTTGGAAACAATTTTTCAATTTAAATAATTTCATTTTTCTTAAGAAAATTGTATTTAAATTATCGTTCTCAACCATGCTAATAAATGAAATTAAAAATCATTACTTACAAATAATAGATGGAAATCATATTCACATATTCGTGTGCTATCTTTCGCTATTGAATATGGCAACCTTTTTTTTTTATTTATTTTTTTCTAAACAGAAGTTGTTTTAGACTGAACACAGTACATGAGTATTTAAACAAATAATAAAAAGTCGACAATTATTATTATATAATTACTATAACAAATATACTATAAAGAAAAAATGTTATTTGGTTAATATTTATAATTATGGTTAAATTTTAATATAATTTAGTAGTTTATTTAATATAATTTAAATGAAGTTTTTTACATTATTTATTTGACTTTTTTTTTAATTACCAGTAGTACAAATTGAAGCATAAAAACATATTACATTATAAAACTAACTAAAATTTAAATTAATTTTTTCCAGACTATATTAATTAATAAACAGTAAACTTAATCAAATTAAAATCATAAACAGAGAATAAAGTAAAACTAATTAAAAAATTACAAGAAATAAGAATAATATATTAATTTTATTTCATTTACAACGTTATAATAACATTCATATTCGATTTCTGATTAAATAATGGTTATAACAATTAATAATATCAGATAAATCAATATTTCACAACTCAAGCTTGATATTGATTTATTTATTATCCATATATTATGGCAATAATATTACTAAAAATAATTAATATCTCATCAATTAATTCGTCCTTGTTCTGTTGTATATTTTTCTAATATTGTTTTATTGATGATTTTAAACTTTTCAAATCTCCAAGTCTATTTTATCTTAATGAGAAAAATTCTAAATTGCAAAAGTTTTTCTATTGTTCTCTACTGAATAAATTGGAACTCGTTCTTTTCAGTGAATCTAGATCCCATTGGAACATAGGTTGCCCACCATTGACCCATATCGTCAGGAACAAGGATAGCCCCAAGGACAACACTCGTGAGGGGCACTAGCGAAAATTCAACGCGAGCGAATTTTCTTCGGGACCTCTCGGCTCTCTGGGGTCCCATCAACCTTGAGTATTTTCTTTAGCACGCTTGGTAAATATATCGCTTCTCCAAAGCAGTTGCTGAGCCAAGCGCTGTCGTATTCCTCCTACATCGAAGAAGTATTATTCAGTATGCTGTACTTATTATTTTTGTTTAATTATCCAGTCCACTAAAATCAATCGAATTATATTTTCAAATTAATATTTAATTTTACTAGGCATAAAGCCCACGATAAATTTCATAAATAATTAATTACCTAATATCATAGGTTTGTTCCAAAAAAATAATTCACATTCCTTATGAAGGTAAAAGTTTACGTACTTTTTAACGAATAAACAAAGAAAGTGGATGAAAATGTCAAAATGTTGTGACTTCACCGAGATAAAATTCACGAAAATACTTAATTATTTAATTTTCTTAAATGTTATTTAACGACTTTTTACAATGGATCGAAGATATACTCTTTTTTTATTCATCCATTTATCATAATTTTTAATATATTTGATAATTTTTATCCATAATAAAAAAAGAGTATATCTTCGATCCATTGTAAAAATATTTCATTCTTCAGAATTTTATATTTACCTTGTCTTGAAACGAATAATTTCAACTTTAATTTTGAGTATGAAAACTAATATGATTTGTATCTCCCAGTTTGCAAGAACTTTTATTTTTATTAATATCTAAAATTCATTTATTTTCGATAATCACTCAGGAAGAAAAATTAAGAAACTTTATAAATTGTTGTAAAATTGGTCCCCGAACGTCTGCTAAAAATTAAAGAAATACATGAACAATATTACTTTTATGGATTATATTTTTCTTGATACGTACTTATATTTCGTAGCTGTATATCCCCTTGAAGTTAATAAGAGTTCACATATTGTAATTGTTTAAGAACATAGCTCAGTTCACTCTCTGTAACATATATTGATGTATGATAAAAACAAATGTTTATAGTCTTCTCTATTCTCTCTTTTATACTCTCTTCGTACCCCATAAATCCGCCAGTGACATCAGGCAAATCAATTTTTTTAAGAAATCATTTTAATATATATATATATATATATATATAGATATATGAATAATAGCAATGTATTGTAAGATAAAATATATATATATATATATATATATATATATATATATATATATATATATATATATATATATGAATAATAGCAATGTATTGTAAGATATGAATTAAAATTAAATTCTATTTTAAAAAAACAAAAATAGTTGACTAAGATTACCTACACTATTTTTTTTTTCTACTGATTTTACTCGATTCCCGAAGCTGTATTTTTTTGTCTTTTCAATATAAATATATCAAGAAATTTATAACAAAATTGTTAACCTTTACAAAATTTGTAGTTTTATGTTTCTAGATTTCTGGATAATCTAAAAACAAATAAAAAGATCTGGGGCGCGCATCACATTACTTTCACTTACTACCTCCTTCTTAGCCGAAATAACTATTTTCAGACAAAGGGGGAGTGAAAGTAAATATTATTGGTGCCGTAAATATTATACCACAATTCATTGTGGGTATCTTTATTTGTACACATCTTTACACATACACACTTTATATCGCTATTAATTTTTATATCGCTGTATTCTATACAATTAAATAATAACAACGATAGCATTTATGGAAACCGCATATGTATATGAACATAATATAGTTTCAGCCCGTATTATATGAAGCTCATGTTATGTATGGAACCCTGTTGTAATCTTTCGGGCAAGCTCGTATTCCTTTGATTCCTCTAATACAACTATTATCCGTTACACTTATTTCTCCTTTAGTTAAATATCAAATTCTTTCATATTTTATGTTTATATCACAGATTAATGTAAAATGGTTAATTATTTCAAATAAAAAAAAAATAAAGGTACTTTAAAAAAAAAGTATTGAAAATTAGCCATTTAAGCCCTGATAGAGAACATCAATTAGGATAAAAGCTACATTACATTAAAAATTGCTTGATAATGATATACTGAGCTTAATCAAAATCGTTAGAGCCGTTTTGGAGAAAATCGTAGAAATGTGTCGAATCGATGATATAAAGTACATCTTTCGGTTTGCCGATTTTGAAGAAAATGTTTGTGTAACATCGAAAGCTTATCAAAATCTTAAATATGCAATTTCACCTCCATACTTTTCGTTTTTGAGCTAGACTTTTAATATACATACACACACATAGACCCTTTTGCTGTGATACATATATTACTAGTAATATACATATAGTAATAGTAATTTACATATACGATTAATATACATATATTAATTAGTAATTATTAGCAGATATTGATTTATCAGTGAAAGAAATAATATTAAATTGCAAGAGAGTGAAGTTGGACAAGTTGGGAGAGTCGAGTTACCTTGAACTCCGCCCGCTGTGAGGTGGCGCTATCTACAACTGCCGTTCCACCAGAACCAGGAAATGTGAACCTTGCATTGTTGGATAGGGTTATTCCAACGTAAAACTTTACTTGATTGTTAATTATTGCTCGTAAAATGAGTATTGTGTGTGTAGATGACTGAAAGGAAAGTTGTTCAATAATACTTACCTTTCTGCGGATCTACGGGGAAGAGGTGAGGATGGGAGGGCTTTCGGACTAAAGCCCCCTCCCCACCCAAAAAAACAAAACAAAAATGGTAAAAGATAACCATGTTTTATGGAAAAAAATATTTAAAAATTATCTAATAAAGTATTATTGTTC